GGCCTTCTGAGCTTGGGGAGAATGAAAATGGCTTCCCCTGCCCCTCCGAAGGAAATTCCAAGGTCACCTTGGAGGCGAGTAGTGTGGTGCACGTGGGGGGGGTGTGTGCACACATGCGCATGTGGGGGGCGCTTTTCATTATGGGTGCCGGCGCACGCGCATGCAAAAGCACATGCACCCTCGCATTTTTGCCACCCAACAACAAAAAGGTTAGCCATCACTGGTATAGGGTCTCCTGCTGGAGCAGGAGATTGGACTAGAGGACCCCAAGGTCCCTTCCAACTCAATTATTCAACGTTATCTATTTATAAGATGCGGAACCACCTTTGAGGAAAGAGAGGGAGAGTATAATAGGTGGTTTGAGACCAAACAGATTCAGAGCAGATTCTGAAATGGTCAATTTATATGCTTTTGTACTTACGGATGCAACATTTCCAAACGGTTACAATTACTGACCCCCCAGCATGATGGGAATCTATGCAGCCATTTCATATTCAAATCCCAATAATAATGTTCTATTATAGACCTGTGCACTACATTTGTCACGCTCCTAGCTGTCTCACCTTCCGACTACCATACTACAAGGGGGAATTTCTTGAGCTAAAAGCCGTATTACTCAATGAATCAAAAAGTTCAGAAACAGAGATAAGTTCTAGTCCCTCCTCAGGCCTGAATGGAGCTGAGTGACCCTGGGCTAGTCACTTTCTCTCAGCCCTAGAAGGAGGGAAGGGCAAACCACTTATGAAAACGTTGCCAAGAAAACTATAGACATTACTGCAGGCAGCATCAGGAATCCAGACTGCCTTGAAGGCACATATTTAAATGCACTTCAGATGGGATTACCATAATGCTAAATCAAAATATGGTATAGTTTGGATCACACCTGTTGTGCGAGCCTAATTATTGTTTGTAAATCATGATTTATATGTTAACATGCTCTACCAGTTCAGTCAACTGTAACCCACTCCATTAGCAAAAAACAGTCGCTGGGACTCCTTCGCACCTCAGGGAGATAGAGCGCGCAACCCTCGAGCGCCAGGCTGTCCTATCCCTTTAAGAGAGCGCTTCTATGCGCGTAGCTCCCAGCCCATCCCACCCGAGGCGGAAAAGCGAAGTGAATCTTGTGTGCTTCTGGTTCTGGAGGATCGTGTTTAAAAACCGACTTTATAATCTTGCTTCAGTCTGCGAGGACCGTCGCGCTTGCAGGAAGCTGGCCATAGAGCGGGATCGGACATGGAGGAAGGTACGTCCCCCACCCCAGCCCCTTCTGGGTTGGGGAATATGGAAGGGGATTAAGGGCAATCTCCCCAGTCATCGCGTCTCTTTCGGGGCTTCTGCTCTTGGTTTTGTCCTTAAAAAGTACAGAAACTCTATAGTGCGCGCGATCTTGCCGTGCCCCTCAGTTCAGAGCAACCTAGATCCCGAAGATAGCTCGCGTTTTAGCCCTTATCTGAATGGCGCATTTCTTTCCCTTGCTGCCCGCTGCTCAGTGGAAACACAGCAGGTGTGGGAGCAAGGGGGGAGTACAGCAGGGAGCGTGTTTTATGGAAGGGAGAAACGCTGCGCTCTCGGGATCCGAGGACAAGGCTTGCCGCCCTGTCGGAGGCAGAGAGCAGTTCCGACACAGCGGCGCGGTCTTACTTGGACTTTCGTTTCCTCTGAATGTTTCCTACAGGCGGCAACATATACGAAGAGCCGCGGGAGGGCGGGGGACCTCCTGAAGGACGCGAAATTGATGACGTGATGAATGGACCTGTCCGGAATGGGGCAAATGTACAGGTAAGAAATGCCTTCCTTGCTCAATAACATCCAGGAGCTGGATGAGGTTGGCTTGCTCTTTACACCGTCGTCCTCCTAGCCAGCTGCGACTCCAGCTTCAGAAGCCAAGTGATATGACCTCTAGATTTATTTATTTATTTTAGTTTGTCAAATATGTAAAAGATAACA